TATTTATTTTTTAGTTGTAGTTGGGCACAATATCTTTTTTTTTTAACACAATGCCTTTATTTTTATGTGGTGCTGAGGTTCGAACCCAGCTCCCGTGCTAGGGGAGCGCTCTACCACTGAGCCACAATCCCAGCCCGGGCACAATATCTTTACTTAATTTATTTATTTATGTGTGGTGTCGAGGATCGAACCCAGGGCCCTGCATTTGCTAGGTGAGCGCTCTACCGCTGAGCCACAACCCCAGCCCAGAAGGTATTGTTTTTATTAGAAAAAATTTTAAGCATGTCAGAGTAGAGAGAGTAATATCAGAGCTCTAAAACATATCCTTTACCTCATTTCAACAATTATCACCATTTTTTTAACTTTTACCACCACTTTTCTTTTCTGGACTATTTTTTTTAGTTCTTCTTGTTAATTAAAAAGAAATAGTGTTCTCATAAAAAATAACATTGTGGAAATTATCTGACTTAGGAAAGGAGACACCTGTAACCTTACCTGTCAGAAAGAGCCCCATGTGCCCGCATGTGGGCTCATGCGAGGTGTGTATGTAGTCTTCAAGGATGTCTTTTTTTTATTGTGATGCTGGGGATTGAACCCAGGGCCTTGTGTATGCAAGGCAGGCACTCTACCAACTGAGCTATATACCCAGCCCAAGGATGTAATCTTTAAGGATCTTTCTGTATCAGTCTTGAATATAGATAGTGTATTCCATTATGTGGATTACAACATGATTAGCCGGGTTCAGTAGTGCATTCCTATAATCCCAATGACTGGGGAGGATGAGGCAAGTTCAGAGCCAGCCTCAGCAACTTAGTGAGGCCATAGGCAACTTAGAGAGACCCTGTCTCTAAATAAAATACAAAAAAGGCTGGGGATATAGCTCAGTGATTAAATGCCCCTGGTTCAATCCCCAGTACCAATCATCGTCGTCGTCATCATCATCATCATCATCGTCATCGTCATCTAGTTCCCTGTGGGGGTATTTTTGGTTTTTCAGTTTTCCCTATTAAATACTGCTGCACTAAAAAAGGAATATGTACATAAAATTTAAAAATAATGCTGCACTAACAACCTCCAACATTTTTTAATATGGTATGTTTTAGAATTGTCGGTTCAGATATGTACATCTTTTTTTAAAATAATAACTTCATTTTATTTATTTACTTATTTTTACATGGTGCCCAGGATGGAACCCAGTGCCTCACATGTGCTCGGCAAGTGCTGTACCACAATCAGCCCTAGCATATGCACGTCTTAAAAAGATTTATAGATATTGTCAAATTGTCCTCCCAAATGAGTATACCGATTTATGCCTTCAGCAGTGGATGGGAGTGCCCAGATTTTTTTTTTTAAGTGTTTCTGGGACTTGGACCCAAGGGTGCTCTACCCTGATCTACATCCTTTTTTATTTTATTTTTATGTGGTGCTGAGGATCGAACCCAGTGCCTCACCCGTGGCAGCTGAGTTCTGTACCACTGAGCCCCAGCCCCAGCCCCTTGAGCTGTATCTTGAGCCCTTTTTATTTTTTTTATGTTTTATTCAGAGACAGGGTCTCACAAAGTTGCTGAGGCGGGCCTCAACCTTAACAACCTTCCTGCTTCCGCCTCCTGAGGCGCCGAGGTTACAGACATGCATCACCGTGCCCACCTAGAGCAGCATGGCTTTACAGTCTACTTTGTCCTGGTGCAGACAGGGCCCGGAGGTCAAGGGCTCTCTTAGTCCAGGCTTGTTTCTGCAGCAATGCAACTGAAGCTCCTGACTTCTGGTCACTTCCTCCTCCAGGGTCTCTTCCAGACCTGACTCTAGCCTGCCTGATTTTTTCATGGCCTTACTTTTGTGTTTCTGGGTCTCAGTTCACAGGAGCTTCCTGGGAGCTCTCTGAACCAGATGCCCAAAGACAGTGGGAGTGGGCGCAGTAATTGTCTTCCTGCTGCTTTGCTCCTGGTTAGCCTTTCTTTCCCCGGCAGTAGTGGGCATAGAAACCAGGGCCTTGTGCACACTGGCAAGCCACTACTCCTGAGCACAGCCCATCCCTGAGGCTGGGTTATTTGATCCTCTGAGAGGTGCACAGACTGCTCTCTGCCAAGGTTTTCTGCAGTCTTGTTCTCCTGTTATTTGGGATGTAGAAACATTTGCAGCCCAGTGGGGGCTTCTGCACTCAGGGCTTTCTCATTCCTTCCATTTCTCCTTGAGAAGTTGTAGTTCTTGCCTGTGCCATCCTTTTCTTGGAATCCTGTGTGGAGACAGTCAGTAGAATCCTTCTCTGACTCTTCCCACCCCCCTGGGCCAGAGGCTGCTGCGGGTGGTGGATCATTGGCATCGTCATGGGCTCCCAGCTCTGCAGCATTCCTACCTGTGCTCTGCCTCCTGACTGCGAAGCCAGGGCCACAGAAGCTCAGGTTGTCTTCACAGCCAACCCCACTTCAAGGGACTCATTTGATGTCAGAGGTCGTTCAGGAAAGCAGAAACTACTGTGGGTATTTCCAGCAGGAAGGTGTTTAGCATAGTGAATCAGAGGATTACAAAACCATGAGTAGGGTGGGGGGTGATGGTGGTAGCATCAAAGCCAGAAGGAGCTGCTGGCAGCTTTCAGAAAATTAGGACTTGTGCTTATTACACAAAACTGCTGCAGATGAGCTGTGCGCTCCCTAGGACCAGGGAGGGTGAAATTCAGAAGAATGCTCAGTGGTGCTGGTGACGTGACCCTGCCACTCCACTGAACAGCCCCAGCTGGCATCACCTCACTGCTTTCCGAGTCTTACGGGGTAGTGGTGCTTCTTGTCACTGGATCGGGGCTGTGGCTCCTGTCGTTCAAGGGAGAGCAAGATGTCACCAGCACCCAGCCTGCTTCCCTGCTGGGAGGGCAGCACAATCTTGCTGGCCACGGATCTGACCCTCAGCATGGTGCTGTTAAGTTACATGATGATAGTGTGCAGCGTGGAAGTGAATATAAAAGTCTGTGCATAAATAAAAATTTGTCTTTATAATTACTTACAGACTATAAAGCAATTGGCAAAATAGGAGAGGGAACATTTTCTGAAGTCATGAAGATGCAGAGCCTGAGAGATGGAAACTACTATGCGTGTAAGCAAATGAAACAGCACTTTGAAAGGTAGGTGTCCGAGACAGCCGCCACCCAGTGCTGGTGCAGCCTTGAGTTTAGGGCAGTCTCTGTCCTGGGAAAATTGTTTATTTAGTTGTAAATAAGTAGTCCGATCCCTTGGGTATTGAGGGTCATGGGCTGAAGAGCCGCTTATGATGCTGGCATTTCCTCTTGTCCAGGCTTACAATAATGTCAGTGATGAATGGTGTGAGATTTTAAGTTGTAAAGGCATGACTCACTCAAAGAGTTGTATGTGTGTCGGGGTCTTACAAATCAGACCTTCGTCCAGGTGCATTAGAGGTGCTTGCAGTTTAATTACTTGTGAAGCACATGGACATGATGAGGAATGATTTCCAGGTAGGGATAGAGGAACTTCTTTCCTGGGTGACCTCAGCTGCCCGTCCCCGGGGGGGAACTGTGGTTTGTGCTCACGCCTGTGGAGGACCACCCTGGGTTTTTCTTTCAGAGCAGACTCTGATGGTCTCAGAGTTGGCCAGCTTCTCAACATACACTACACCAACAAGCCAGAAATGGATGCCATTAGGAAACTGTCTGAACGAGGAAGTGAGTGCTGGCTTCATTGTAACATGAAACTTTTCAATAAAAAGTCTGAGGCCAGTAATTTATGTCTCTAAATAGCCAAAGAATTTTGAAAGCATAATTATTTCACCGTATTGATGCACAGCCTTCCGGAGAGTTTTGGGGTATAGACCTTGATTTCACACTCTAAGTATGAAGAGTCATTTCTCAGGTCAGAAGAGGAGTGTTGCCAGTTCATCTCACTAGAGAGGGTTGACAGTAGCACTTCATCCTCATGACATCTCATCCAGGTAGCTGTTATCCTTGCTTTGCACAGGAGGAGAGGTGCCCTGACCTTGTCACTAGCTCTGCACCTCTGGGTTCGAATCCACTTTTCACCAAAGCCAAACCCTGGCTCTTTACCGCCCAGACCACGTGGTGGTTCACCTACCACTTCCAAGACTCGGCTGCTGCCAAGGTCTTCTGCTTTGCCTTTCCTGGGACTTCTTCCTCTACATATTCCACACTCTCTGTCCCCAACCCCCCATTCCGTCCATCTTTACCTTCAGACTACCAAAGACAGAGAATTAGATGCACGGTATGCTGACGACCCTGCATGGAGAAAGCGGAGAGCAGCTTCCTCCGCAGGCACCCTGTGAGCCCCCGCCCCAGCAGCCAGCACTGGACTTTGAGCAGCAGGGGTGGCACCTTGCCCCCCCCCCAACCAAGGACTGAGGATTGGATCCTTTCAGGTTCTCACTGTGGGTTTCAGGGAGAGAGAACTTGAAGGTGACCACAGGTGTGCTGCTGTCATTTTGGTGAAGAGGTAAGCGAACACAGTGGGTGGATGCTGAGCCCCAGAGTTTTGCACTCACAGCAGTGCTGTGAGGAGACCACACTTGGTCACACAGGTGCCCATGGGAAGAGGAATACAGGTGTAGCTCATTTTAGGAAGGTTTCTGGTGAAGAAGGTTGGCGAGTTCTGAGAGCAGACCTTTGCTAATCCTGTCACCTCCCGAATACCCACCTCTAATCACCATAGCCAGATTAAGTTTCTACCCTCTTAAAGCCTCACAGTGGGCGTTCAGTTCAGTGTCTGTAATATGAAGTGTCACAGTGGCTGGTGTTTTGTGCTATTTGGATGTACAGACTCAGTCACGTGGCCCAGTGCTGAGTTTTAGTTTCAACAGCCATTTGTTAACGTGCCTTAGGACCTGCCAAAGCTGTGTAGTCCAAACCCAAGGAGAACTGGACTTTGGATTTCATTTTGTGAGTTCTGATTTGCTTTTTATATATGTCTTAAAAACCCTAGGATGGGTCTGAGACTATGGCTCAGTGGCAGAGCACTTGCCTAGCAGGGTGAAGCACTGGGTTTGATCCTTAGCACCACATAAAAAGGCATGCTGTCCATTCACAACTACAAAAATAAATAAATAAATAAACCAACCAACCTACCAGCCATCCCACCCTGGGACACAGGAATCCCCTCACGGTTGGTCTGCTGTGGCCAAGGGAAGCATTCTTTTGATATGACCTATCCTCTTTTCTTTCTTTTAGTATTTTTTGGTGCTACGAGGCTTTCTGTGCTCCTTTTATACTTTCCTTGCTCCAGCCCTAGAACCTGCCATTTCTCTAAGGAGCCCTGATTCCTTTCATTGGAGGAAGGTATTTAGAAACTAAGATCTGGACACTGGGTGTCCTAGTACTGGGTGCTGATGCTTCTAGGGCTGTTGGCAAACAGTGCTGGTGGTGCCAACCCATCATGCCCGTGCCTGGCTCTCCTTCCCATCTCTATTCAAGTACCTATGAGAGCATACCCATAAAATAAATAAATGGGATGAAGAAATGATTCTTTCTCATAGAAGAATTTCACTTAATACATGTAGGGGGATAAGGGAAATAGGGAACCATCATTAGAATGCACATGTAATAATTTTTGCAGTCAGAAATCATTTCTGGGGGAAACTCAAAAGTTATTTCTGACTATAGAAATAATTATGTGTTCATTATTACATGTTTATTGTTATATGTTAAATTATTACAGGCTGATGCATGCTAAATTAATGGGTGAAACTATGAAGAGAAATAGGATTTCTATATAGCCCTAAAATATTTCCTCCTAGATACTTTATTTTTAAAATTTGATTTATTTTTAAGCTCATTCACAAAACATAGAAATTATAAATATTAATGGGGTGTCATGTAATGTTTTGATACATGTATACATTGTATAATTTTTTAAATTTATTTTTAAAAATTTTTATTTATTTATTTATTTTTGGTACTTGGGATTGAACCCAGGGCACTTAACTATTGAGCTATATCATGAGCCCATTTTTTGTATTTAGAGACAGGGCCTCGCTAAGTTGCTGAGGCTTTGAATTCGTGATCCTCCTGCTTCAGCTTTCTGAGCCGCTGGGATTATAGATGTATAACACCACGCCTGGCACATCATGTAATGTTTAAATCAGGTTAAATATATCTGTTTCCTCAAACATTTGTCATTTCTTTATGGTAAAAACTTTCCAAATATTAATTTTTAAAAAATATATTTTAATACATTTTATTTATTTATTTTTATGTGGTGCTGAGGATCAAACCCAGGGCCTCACATGTGCTAGGTGAGCGCTCTACCACTGAGCCACAACCCCAGCCCTCCAGATATTAATTGTAACTACTCTGATTGCCATCAATAATAAATACTAGCTAGTGTTGATTAATTACTGTGGAAGTTCTGACAGATCCTCGTATTGTCTGGTATCCCTTCCTCCAGGAAGTAGGGCTTCCTTCCTTCCTCTTGAGTGTTGATTGGACTTAGTGATTTGCTTCTAAAGAATAGAAGGGACAAACAATGGCATTACAGTTAGAAACCTGGCAGGTCCCACGGTGGCTAAATGATCCAGGTCACCATCAGTGGTGAGACAGGGACACAGTGGACCAGGATGGACAGGCTGTGCCACCTCGGGGCTCGCTCCCCAAAGCCATAATCCCAGTGTAACCCTGAGAGCACAGCAGGGGAGTCCAGACTGGGGACATTCCGCAAAACACCTTCCTAGACCAAGGCTGTCATGGCAGTGAAAAACAAACACTGAGGAACTATTGCAGATTGGAGGTGACTCACGGGCATGTGATACCTTAACTGCAGGTGGCATCCTAGATCCTGGAAGAGAAAAGACATTAGTGGAAAAACATGGGAGACCTCAAGTTTAAGTAATAGTTGTACCAGTGTCAGTTTTTTAGTTCTGATAAATGTTATACAAATTGGGTAGACTCCATATTATCTTTACACCTCTTCTGAAAGTCTAAAATAATTTCAACACAAAAGGTAAAAAATAAGACAGAACAAGCAGACAAAAACATAAATAAATAAATAAATACAGAAGCCAGGCCCAGTGGTGCACACCAGTTATACCAGTTACTCAGGAGGCAGAGGCAGGAGGATTGCAAGTTCGAGACCAGCCTGGACAAGTAGCAAGACCCTATTTCAAAATAAAAGATTTAAAGGACTGGGGGCGGGGCTGGGGATGTGGCTCAAGCAGTAACGCACTCACCTGGCATGCGAGGGGCGCTGGGTTCGATCCTCAGCACCACATAAAAATAAAATAAAGATGTTGTGTCCACCGAAAGGGTTCGATCCTCTGCACCACATAAATGTAAAATAAAGCTATTTTGTCCACCTAAAACTAAAAAATAAGTATCCAAAAAAAAAAAAAAAAAAAAAGGACTGGGGATGCAGCTCAATGGGAAAGACCCCCAGTACCACAAAATAGCAAAACAACAAATAAGACAACTATAGGAGATCTGGTACTACTCATTTATCATGAACGTCTCTTCTTAAAAATGTTGCTGTTAATTCTGATTTATATGGGAAAAAGAATTGTTAGTTTCTTCTGCTTTTGGTCTCATCTCTAAGGATGAGATTGCTAATAATTTGTAGTTTTGTTGGATGTTCCAGTGTAACTGATACTGGTCCAAGTATAATGCTGTTTCTTTGTTTCTTGTGGTGCTGGGGGTGGAACCCAGGGTTTCCTGCCTGCTAGGCAAGCAACATACCCCTAAGCCATACCCCTAAGCCATACACTCTAGCCCTTGTTTTTGTTTTCAGACATGAAAATAATACTTCTGGCTTTTACATGGGAGTATCTTTCTGTAGTATTCTGTCATCATTAACAAATAAATTGTCTTGTTTACTTAAAGAACAATTTCAAAGTTGATTTTGGGTACCCTTAGCCATCCGTTTCTGTTCTACTTCTCATTGTCTAAATGAGTCCTCAAAGTCATCTTGCACAGTTGCTTGGGTGGTTTGGGAAAGGTGAAGCATTGGCAGAAGAAGATCACACCATGTCACTCATGCAGGATGATGTTGGCATTCAAAGCCTCTGCCTCCTGACCCCTCCAACCTTACTTCCACTCCTTTCCTCCTACTTGAGTTGGAATTGAAATTGATGGCTTTTGGGGCTGGGGATGTGGCTTAAGTGGTAGTGTGCTCA